AAGAATCATGGACAAGACTCTCCAAGACTTTAGGAAAGCAACTCAAAATCGAAATTGCACGATAATTTTCGACGTCATTAACATTACCACACACCAAATTTCTTAAATCTTGTTCGGTACTTTTTTTTTGCTGGATTCGTTCTGTAAAATATAAATTTTACCGAAAACTTTGTAAAAGTATTGATTTACCAATTTTCCGCAATCAAAACTGCTGAATTTCCGTAATTTATAGAAATCTACCGAAAACTGTAAATCAAAATTACTGATCTAAATCGTAAATTGCTACAATTCCGCAATACTGTAAACATTGTGACGAATGTGCTGTAAATATAATCTTTTACAAAAACAAACAGCAGTAATGTACCAGACTTTTGTAAAAAATACAGAACAGATTTGCAAACTTCACACTGTAAAGCTTTGCTGTCATTTTGAAGTTGAGTGTTCTTTAGCTATCCTTAGTGAATAGTAAGACGTTACTTTTTTCCTATAATCCGTCCAATTTACATCGAAAGTATAAATTATATAATGCTTCTTCATTTCTTGGACAATTGCTTTCAGACGACATGGACATTAAATGGCCAAATCTCACACACAAACCTCGTCCCCAACAGCAAAAAGCGAATTTGTGCACGGTTCGCTACTGGGTCGCTAACCACGGTCAGGTTCTTACTTTATATACGGACGCACGATGAAAATGTATGTTTATAGATAATAAATAGATTATTAGTCAAATAAATGATTAATTAATCAATAAAAATCATGTTATTAATGATTAATTCAGGCAAATTAAGTACAGCCATTCGGTAAAAATTATACCGAACGCTATATTGCAAACTTCACCGATCATTCAGCAAAATTTACAGTCCTGGTCCGTACATTTTGACAGCTCACAAAGTGAACAAAATTTACCGAACGGATTGTAAATAAAAAAAATACCGAATAGATTACCGAATGTTCAGCTGTTCCATATTCGGTAAAAAATTACGGTATACTGTAAAAAAATCTTAGTGTGCACTTTTATGAATGGGAGTGATGGCTGCAGTTTTCCATTTGTTGGGAAATATGCCCTCCGAAAGAGATCTGTTGAAGAGTATACTCACAGGTAAAGCGATTGACTCAGCACACCGATTGATGAAGAAAGGTGACAGACGATCTGGACCTGCTCCTTTCGAAGTGTCGATAGAAACCAGCTTAGCAAAAACATCTTGCCGAGAGAAGTTGTAGACGGTCACGTTCAAGTCGTAGTGCGGCAAATTGCTCAAGTACGATTCAGTCAAAGGTGGTCGGTTATTACTTTGCACACTTGGGGGTCCTGTTTCAAACTTGCTTCAGTACGATGAATGTAGCAGCGAAAGTATTGTGCATGCAAAGAGTTATATTCGCTCTCTAAGTCACGCAGCTCAGCCTTATGCTGTTCATTCCTAGACCGAAAGTAACGCTTCCTTGCCCTGCGTAGACGATTTCGCAGCCGTTGCAGTTCATTGTTCCACCATGGTTGTTTCTTCCTGTGGGTATCGATCCGTTGTTTTAGAGGCACAACTTCGCTTATGATTCCATAAAGCTTGTCGTAGAATATCGATACCGCTTCGTCGACACTGCATCCAATTAGAAGATTCACCCATCCGACGTCCGAAATCATTGAGCTCAAAACTGCAAAATCACATCGCTTGATGTCAAAATCTAACGGATCAGTTGTTCGGGAAATTTCTCGATGAACATTTCAAATGGTCCTATCTGCTTTGATCGATTCTCTTCATCGACTTTCTCTTTCGTTAATAACTCAGCTGCAAAACCTTTCCCTGTTGTATTTGACGTTTCGGACGCTAGATAAGAACCTCCTTTATCAAACTATGTGGTAGAATTAGCGCGAAATCTGTTTGCATAGCAGTGGTTATGAAAAGAGAAAGTCGATGAAGAGAATCGATCAAAGCAGATAGGACCTTTTGAAATGTTCAACGAGATTTCACATTCGCTTGCAGTTTCAATCACAAGCACCAATGGTTTATGATGTTCATCAACACGCAGTAGCGGTGACGGGGGCGCCACAAGCTCGAGTACATTGATATCAGTAGAGAAAACCAAATATAGTATCCTTCCATTCGCATTACTATAATGATTCAACTGATGCAGACCATTAGCGATGAACGATTCAACCACAGTGAACTCCTGCTCAGAAGACGTATTTGTAGGTAGCAAATATCGCAATTCATCATCATGGTCCCAATTCAAGAAGGGTAGATTGTAGTCGCCAACAACAACAACCAAACCACGATCACCCGCTTGATCCATCAGTCTTTGAACACATGAACAGTGCTGTTCATACAATGCATTGTCGCTGTTGGGAGGGAGATAAATACAACAGACGAAGCGTTCAAATGTAGGCAGCTTGATCCGAACGATTATTTGCTCCAGACACTCGGTACCAGCAATCGAAACAGCGGCACTGTTCAATGTTTCCCGTCCACAAAAAAGGAAGGAAACGAGCTGTGGATAACTATCGAGGAATTACATCGTTAAGTGCCGTTTCGAAGCTATTCGAGCTAGTGATTATGGAAGCGTTGCTGTCCCATTGCAAGCAGTATTTGAGTGCTGATCAACATGGGTTTACTGTCGGCCGCTCTACAACTACCAATCTACTGTGTCTCACATCGTATAGAACCGAAAGCATGTCGGATCGGGTTCAAACGGACGTTATTTATTCAGACCTATCCGCAGTATTCGACAAGTTGAACCATGCTATCAACAATCAATACGAAACTAACGATTTTAAATTGGCTCACCACTTTAGTAGCCTATTGGTCCCAAGCAAACGATTAACGTACCCTATTCCTGTTGAAATTCTATTACTACACTATGTTTGTTTTGATTCGCTATGAAAGTTTGACAGATAACATCAGGGGTGTGTGGATTCATGCAGAACATGCAGGGGTGAGTGGAATAGCTTGGGACTGCTTGGGACCGTTGTTCTGGTACTGAGTGAGCCAAAAATAATAATGATTTTCTTCGGGACCCAGTGGTCTTAGAGTTACCTCTATGATGCTATTGCGATTGCTAAACTCGACAGGCTCGGTGTATGCGGTAATCTTCTGAGTTGGTTTCGATCATATCTTACCGGTCGGCAACTAAAGGTTGCCATAGGAGATTGCAGATCAGCTAGCTTCTTCGTCACATCAGGTATACCTCAGGGAAGCCACATGGGACCGTTGATTTTTATACTGTACTTCAACGACCTGCATCTGGTCATCGAAGCTCGCAGATGACCTCAAAATCTTCCTACGAATCTGCTCCATTGCTGACTGTCACTTTCTTCAACGTCAGCTGAATGTATTCGCTAGTTGGTGCAGGTTAAACAGAATGATAGTGAACCCAGCCAAATGCTCCGCTATTACGTTCTCACGAAAACAACAACCGATAATATTTAGCTATGACCTGTTTGGCTCGACAATCGAACGCGTGAATCAGGTGAAAGACTTAGGGGTGATCTTGGATTCGCAGCTTTCATTCAAGCAACACATTGCATATGTTGTTGATAAGGCGTCAAGAACTTTAGGGTTTATTTTTAGGATAGCTAAAAACTTCACTGATATCTACTGTCTATAAAATCTCTCTATTGTTCGCTTGTTCGATCGACGCTTGAGTATTGTTCAGCGGTTTGGAACCCAAACTAAAACAACGGTGCCGAGAGAATTGAATCTGTTCAACGTCGCTTTCTTAGTTTTGCGTTGCGTAGATTGCCTTGGAATGATCCGTTTCGATTACCCAGTTACGAAAGCCGTTGTCAACTTATCGACCTAGAACTTTTCCGGACTAGAAGAGATACAAGTAGAGCCCTAACCGTGGCCGATATCCTGCAAGGAAGGACAGATTGCGAGGCTATACTGAGGCAAATTGACCTGAATGTTCAACCTCGACCGCTTGGTAATAACCTTATGCTAAGACTGCCTCTACGTCGGACAAATTATGGAGCGTACGGTGCGATTTGCGGACTGCAGAGAACATTCAACAGAGTTGCATTTGTTTTCGACTTTCATCTCTCCCGTGATGCGCTTCGTCGAAAGTTTTTTTTCTGTTTTTCGCCGACAGGAGTAACTGACTATAAGATATATAGTTGAAGATGCTAATTTCGAATAACTGACTGAAGTGGTAATTTTTATACGATAGATGAGGAGGAGATGAAAGTATAGAATTGATAGTTCCGTTTAGATTACGGCAGTGTGAAAATTGCATATAGAAGGGTAGATAGCGAGCTAAGACATCTTTGAAGTAAGGTACAAACCGGTTTTATCATCTCTCTTTACCAAACTCCTCCTTTGGAGAGGGATGGTGAGGGCTGTGTCCCGCCACCACTGGCAAAAAGAGATGATCGCCGACCGCTCAAGTACCAACGATGTGTTTGAAACAGTTCTACCAATTTTGACCGCACTCCAGTTGTTATTCGAAGGTTTGGAAATTGCAGCTATAGTTTACCCCTACCACTGTATGTGCTTCTGTCATCGTCGACTTGACGATCTCGAGGGGACACGGGTGGGGTGGTGACCAGTGGTGGCGGGGGGGACACCCCTCACCATCCCTCTCCAAAGGGGGAGTTTGGTAAAAAGAGATGATAAAACCGGTTTGTACCTCCCTTTAAAGTTGTCCTAGCTCGCTATCTACCCTTCTATATGCAATTTTCACACTGCCGTAATCTAAACGGAACTATCAATTCTATACTTTCATCTCCTCCTCATCTATCGTATAAAAATTACCACTTCAGTTCGAAATTAGCATCTTCAACTATGTAAATCGTTGACTTCACCAGAAGTAATACTAAACATAGTCAAAGTATAAGATATATGTTTTTTAATGATTTTTTTATGTTGTTACCATACTTGAATATATTTTTATTTTACCATAGTTGATAAGGTTAACATCATTGGGGCTTCATCCAGCCTGTTGATGTAAAACAACAATAAGGCTATTCCGAAGGAAGCAGCATTATTTTTAAAATTTCGACCCTTAGCTTCTTCCAATATAAAGGTTCAAATCTCAATATTTCCCCACATGGAAAATAGCACCGGAATCCACCCTGTTAAGTAGCTCGAGAGATCGAATTCCACAGCCGCTGTTTGGTTTTGGCGTTCCGTTTGTCCTGTGATGTCACCGAAGTCAAGTGGGCTGCATCGACAATATCCCTGGAAAGCACTGTTTTCAGAACGTGAACTGATCTATCCCAAGGTTGCAAAGACTCATTTCAGCTAAAACAATGTTTTTCTAAATTATGAAATAATTAGATGCCATGATCAAATTTTGAATTGGTAGGATACAAGAAGAGGTTGCAAAGAATGTGTTTGACATATTAAACCTGTTTATTTCACTTCATGAGAGTCACAATCAGCGATTTTTCACAAACTCACTCACTCACTCAGCGATCAGCAAATCGCTGATTGTGACTCATAGAAAGCAAAATTTACAGGTTTTATGTTTCCAACGCATACTTTGTAACCTCTTCTTGTAAGTTACAAGTAAAACATGCCATCATACCATCTTTTGGTTTTATTATTCCGAAAAACATTATTTTAGCTGAAATGAGTCTTTGCAACCTTGATCTATCCATCAATTCCTCTTACTTGAACTCGTCGTAGTTTTTCGCCGCGTACACAGCCCTCAGCTTGGCATCGTTGCGCAACTGATACAGCTCATCGCCTTGAATCTTCTGGAGGCATTCAGCTTCCAACTTTTTGATTTCCGCCACCGTCAGCATTGCGAACACGTCTTCTTTCCGGTAGAATTTTCGAAACAATAAACAAACAAAGCCTGACGCAAAATCAGTTGCCATGGGTACCTTCTTTTCGTTCAGTTCCGGCATGGACAAGCTCGGAGTAAAAAAAAAAATAATACACAAAGTCAAGTTTGTTTTCAAATTTATTATCTTTACCAATAATCGATATCGTAATTCACTGTCCATTTCGCAATACACTGTTTCTTGCTGCTACTGTTCGCTTGATTTTGTTTCTCCTAAATCGAAAACTGTTTCATTATCCAATATACTGACATACATAAGATGGGATCTACTGTTACAGTCAGGGTTTACAATATGGTTTTTTGCTACAATTGGATTCGAAAAAAAAGAAATCCTTCAATACAACAAAAATATCTAACAAAAGAGAGTACAGTAGATTTCTATTTTATTTCTTATCATCAAGAAATTAAAATTGGTTTCTTCTCTATTGAGAGTCTATCGAGGAAAACTCAAGAGGAAAGTAATTGTAAAAAATATACAAACTTGTATGAGCTTCACAATATTTTGCAGGCGAGCGGGACACATAATTATAATTTTTGAGTTGCTTTACCTCGCGATGTTTTGAAATATGTGAGTGGTTGGGTTGTGCAGCCTAAGAACTTGACTAATCTTAGGCTTCTACTAAATACAAATACAGAATCAGCAGTTAAAGTTGGGGTTAAAACACATGGATTTACAATTATTCAATTACTATGCAGATGATTATGAAGGCTGCTGGTCGCTACTGCCAGTTCCTTCCAGCAGTAAATTGCGTTCTACCTCTAGCAGAGTATTGTTACTATGATCACTAGCAGTACTGTTCGGCATCTGGATCATTTCTGTTCGTAACCCGTTGTCCGTTCCGACGGGAATCATTTCATGCAGCAGTTCCCGTTCGATGGCTAGATTGAGTTCGTCATGCGGAGCGACGTCTGTCGAGTGTTCCACTGGCGCCGGCTGGCGAAACTGATCGGATATTTCCTCAATTTTGTTGTTTAGCAAGCTTTCCAGATCATCATCCAATGCACTGATAGCGGCGTCGTTGCCAACGCTGGGAACAGTGGAAGAATTTTGGATCATGTTCTGTTCACCGCTGGAAGTGGATGATGAGCTATCTGGAGGAAGCTGTGCTGAATCGTAATCCTGAACGGACAGAGGTTTCAGACCTTCCGTAAGAAGATTCTGCAATTCTTGTAGATCCGATTCCAAGGGTGTAGTTGGATTGACAGTGGAGGAATGTTCCGCTACCGGAGCGACCTGTTCGGCTGCAGGAGGTTCAGATGGAGGTGATTCTTCAACGACATTTGGCTGATGGTCCGGCGATTGTGGAGCCGCTTCGACAGGTGTCTTATTCGCTTCGTTGTTGATGCCACTCGGTTCTGTGCTTGTTTCCGGTTTTCGGTATGCCGGTGATTCACAAGGGGCTATATTTTCATTGGATGCAGGAACGGGTTGTTCTTGTTCTTGCGAATTCTGATCATATTCATCCATTGGAATATCCGAGATAGGTGACGTGGAATTTTCCGGCTCATCGATCGACTCTGGCAGATGTTGGTTTTCGAGTTCCTGCTCGTTGTTTTGCTCTGCATCTTCGGCGTGATCGGCGGTTTCCGCCGGTTCCATCTCGTCATCGTTATCCTTTTCCGTTTCTGCAGGTGATGGATTTTTAATCTCTTTCGGTATTTGCTGGGGAGAATCATCCTCTTGGTTATTCGTTTCCTCTTCGTTCTGATCTGGTGCTTCATTTTCAGACTCCACAGATGCTGAGTCATTTTCCGTGACAATTGTTTCTTCTTTTTCCGAGGATTCAGGAGATCCGTTTGCTTCCTCTTGATGATTCTTTTTCTCTTCGTTCTGATCCGGTGCTTCATTTTGTTTTTCCTTTTCCGACTCCACAAATGCTGACTCATTTTCCGTGACTTGCTCCTCAGTTGTTTCTTCTTTTTCCGAGGAATCAGGAGATCCGGTTGCTTCCTCTTGATGAGATTCTTCGTCCAACTCCTCCTTGATTGGCATTGGGAACTCTGGTTCTTCCGGTTCCTCTGGACTCTCATCAGGGATGGCCGTTTCTTCCGGTGATTCCTCTTTGATAGGCAAGGAGAAATCATCCTCGACGGCCTGATGATCTTCGGTTTGCCGCTCCTCCTTCGCTTCCTCCGGCTGCTGATTCACTTCTGCTTGCTCATGCTCATCATCCATCGGTTCTTGTTTGATTGCAATAGGGAATTCTGGTTCGTTTGCTTTCGTCTTCTCAGCAGCCATCGAGGTGACCTGCGCTATCACTGGTACCGTCCGATCGGGCTCCGTCTCCGATTCGGCAATCGGAGTATTTTCCCCGGATAAACTGTTCGAAGAGGTGGACGTAGACGGCGTTGATGCGTTTCCGACTACGTTCGTTATTACCGGAAGAGGGGAGGGTGCTTGAGGTGGTAGAGCAGATTCCGTGGCGGCACTCTTCGCCGCTGCTTCCGCTGCCATTTTCTGACGCAACAAGGCGAATGGGTTGATTTTGACTTTCGATTTTTTCTTCTTCTCTGGGGGCTTTGGATCCTGCACCGGAAATACGGATGGTGTTTCGACAGGAGGTTCTATTACGTCCGGTTTTTCCCGCTTAATACGAATCCCGTCGAATGCAATGATCGGAGACGCGGGTTTCTCGTTGTAGGATGAACGCGATTTTTTCGGTGGAGGTGGAACTTCGGCTTGTTTTTCTTGTTCTTCCTGTCCCGGTTGAGGTGGTGCCTCGTCATGATCTAGCCGCTCCTGCTTGATTCTAATACCACCTGGAAGTTCTGCCGGATTAGCCACAATTTGCTCTTGTCGTTCATAGGCAGGATCGATCTTCTCCTGTTTGATTCTAACGGCCAAACTGTTGGGCTTTTTGTAAACCTTCTTCTTGGATTGTTCCGGCTCTGGCTCCTTGGCGTGCTTTTTCACTTCATCTTCTCCTGCTTCCTCCTCATCGTCATCATCATCTAGGACAATGGTTCTGATTTGTTTGACCGCCTCGACGGAAGAATTAAGCAAACCCTTTTCTTTTTTAATTTTTAGAATCAGTAGTGGCTTGGGGGAACTCTGCGCTGCGCTTTGTGATGAGCTTAGTGAAGAAGCAGGAGAAGCAGCAGCAGAAGATCGCGATTCGGGACGTTTCCTTTTGGCAGCAGGTGCCAGATGCAGATCATCTTCCAATCCAGGTTCTTTCTTTATATTGACAGCCAACTGTTCATCGAAAAGAGGTTCCTTCTCCAATTCCTTAGTAGCTTCCACCGGTGGTGCCGTTTCTTCCTGTTGAGGTGCTTCTGTTGTAGCTGAGGGTAATTCGGGTTCTTCGGGCTCTTCGAGCTCGATCTCTTGCTTGATTGGCATAGGGAATGGCAGTTCCTCAGTTTGCTGATGTTCCTGTTCTGTTGGAACTTCGGCGGGAAGAGAAGGAGCTTCATCTTCCGGAGCTGATTCATCGTCATCCTCATTCTGAAAACCGGAATAATTATCCATTGCGTCGTCGTACCCATTGTCCTCTTGCGCTCCGTTTTCAACTGTCTGATCTGCGTCTTCATCATCCATCGGTTCTTGCAGCTGCGACGGTTCCGTATCGATCTCGGTGCATTCCTGTTTGAAGGTCGTCTTTGCCAGTACCACAATCGGGAGTTTACCGGCGCAGAAAGCTAGCTGTTGGTCCAGCGTCATTCCACCCACTTCCTGAGCCAGTTCATATGCTTGGACCTCTTCCTCTGTCCTGTCATCTACTACTACAGGAGGGGGAGCCTCCACTACCGGAGAGGGAATCTCTACTGCCGGAGCAGGAGTCTCCACTGCCGGAGGAGGAATTTCTTCCGGAATGTCCTTTGGCACCTCGACAGCTGGTGTTGGAGCTCGCTCCTTGTTCTTGTCCTTCTTTTTCTTTTTCTTCTTGGCCTTGGCTTCGGAAATGCTAGCAATGGCTTCCGTTACCGAGCTGAGCAGATTGTTGATGGTGGCAATGTCGGTATCGCGGTCCAGCTTGGCGCCTGAGGTCAATAGTGATGCAAACTTTTCTGCTTCCGCGGCAGGAGTAGCTGGTTTGAGCGTCGCATCCGGAACGGATACCTTGCGACTGGTTTTCTTCTTGCTTGCAGACGGTGCAGCAGGAGCATCCGGTGCAAGTTCAAGCGGAGGCGGAAAGGGTATTTCGCGCTCTTCCTTTGGCAGATCTGGCTCAACAACGACTGCACGACGTGTTCGGCGTTCGGGATTAGCGGTGGCTGATGACCCTGACGAAGGTTTTTCAGCAGGATCAATCGGTTCCGCTTTCGGGACAATTACAGGTTCTGGCGGTGGCAGTGTTCCAGTGCAGAACATCATGTAGTGACGTGTGAGGATTTGCTTTTTGACGAAATACTTGCCACACTTTGGACAGTTTGCCTTCGGTTTAAGGAAACAACCATGCCACTCGTAAAGATTTTGGGTCTTGAATTTCTTGTTGCAAAAACGACATTGGATGTCCGGCAGAAGCGTCGGCGGTCGTCCCCGAGCGACACGACCGCAAGCGTTCAGCGCCATATGCTTGACTAGGGCCATGTTTTTGTCATACTTTCGTTTGCACTTGAAGCAAGTGTAAAGGGTACGGGTGAGCTGATGCCACAGATTGTGATCCTTGGATTCCAAAATGGTTTCGAAAGTTTCCCGACAGGAACCGCATCCAAACTTGCGAATCATGGGCAGATGTTTGACCCCTAAGTGACCGTCTAGCTCGGTTTGTGTCTTGAACTCATCCGAACAATACGAGCATGGGTGTTCAAATTTGATCTTCTTCGGAGGAGGAACGGTTGGCTCAACTTTGTCCACCACTTCCTTCGACGGTGATGGTTCCTTTCGTTTCGATCTCGTGTGTTTTTGCTCAACAACTTCGACTGGCTTCTCTTCCACCTTTTCCTTCTTATGTTTGTCTTCTTTTCGATCCCTTTTATCGTCTTCCTTTTTCTTCTTTTCGTCTTTCTCCTTTTGCTTCTTTTCTTCTTTTTCTTTTTGCTGTTGCAACTGCTTCAAACGTTCCTTCTTGGTAAGGGCTTTCACCGGAACAGCCGGTACTGGTTCATCCTTGACATCTACCGCGGCTTTAATCCGGGTCGTCGGCCCCGGGGATGGCGAAGGAGACGGTGGCCCTCGCTTCTTCTTGCCCTTCTTACCTCCCGCACTCGGACTGATGCTGCTGCTACTGCTAGTAGCAACTTCCACCACCTTTTTCACATCCTTCTTCTCTTCCTCTTTGACCGATGGTTCCAATTTGGGCAGCTCACCGAAATTAAGCTAAAATGTAATCACTCCAATCAAAAGTCAATCGCCAAACATTGCACAAACGACTCACCAATTTCCGTGTCGGTTCCACCAAATTCAAGTTCAAAATGGTTCTAGTCTGCAGATTAGTGGCAGCGCACATCAATCGATACTCGTAGAAATCATTGATCTTATCCACACAAAGAGAGCAGATATTTTGCGGCATTTTGTCGTCTTTGCAGACCTGAAAGACGATTATTTTCATTCGAAAACAAAAACAATTTTAGCATTTAAACAAATCGATCGCTTTTTTCCTTCTCCTCCTTTTTTATCATCCCGTACCTGTATACCAACACATTCCTCGATTTTTTTCGCCAGCGACGCTTCTTCATCCTCGTCGCCGACAATGATGGTTTCAGCCCCGTCGATAATTGGAATCTTGTGCGGCTGATCCACCCCGCACAAACGGCATATTTTATGGATCCGCTTGTGCAAAATGTTGATCGCGAAACGCTCCATCATGCTGGGCACGATTTCCGACGGCCGTAGGTCTCTTTCTGCACGGATTTACGGGTCGAAAATCGATTTTTTCACTAGCACCTCAACAGAGCACACACAGCTACTTGGGATTCGCTTCCATGTTTTCTGACACTTTTTTCTCCTTCTTCTTGCTTTCTACTCGGGAAGAAGCTTGCTCCTGCTCCGTTTGGGTTCTTTTTTTGCTGCAGCTTGTTTGACAGCGAATGGGTGTGGGTGGGTGTGTGTGCGTGCAATCGTTGCGTGCATCGTGCGGCGATGGAACCCAGTGCGACGGCAAAGGGATTCCGATCGTTACACCACGCTCATCAGGCTTCGGCTTCGTTCTGACCAAGGTGACTACATATAGGTGTTCTAATGTGTCAAATTCATGATTCAGCCATGTTGGATTTTTGTATGGGACAGCGACCGACTTTGTTTACAATTTGCTCTAAAACCGCACTTTTTCCCCCCGCGACCTTCTCGCCTATATAGTGACAAAGCTGTATCACCATTTGTGTACCCACCATGGTTCTGACGGTTCTGACTGACGAACTCCTCATTTTACCTGTCAAACTTTCATAGCGAATCAATACAAACATTGCGTAGTACTAGAATTTCGACTAGAATGGGATACGTTAATCGTTTGCTTGGGACCAATAGGCTAGTCAAGTAGTGAGCCAATTTAAAATCGTTAGTTTCGCATTGTTTGTTGATAATAGCGTGTTCAGATTTAGAAAATTGAATATCGAAGAAGTTCAGTGAACGTAGTAGAAACAACAATCAATACGAAACTAACGATTTTAAATTGGCTCACTACTTGACTAGCCTATTGGTCCCAAGCAAACGATTAACGTATCACATTCTAGTCGAAATTCTAGTACTACGCAATGATTGTTTTGATTCGCTATGAAAGTTTGACAAGTAAAATGAGGGGTTATTGGTTTTTCCTATGTTTCAAGGGGTGAATCGATTAGCTTGGGACCGAAGAGAGTACCAGAGCTGAGCCAAAAAGTTGAGCACATTTCTTCGGGACCTTCTGGTCTTAGAGTTACCTCTATGGTAGAAAGAACTTCAAAAAACTTCGTAGATGTTCAGGAATCTTCGTAGAGTTTCAATGAACTTTTTAGAAGTGCAGTGAATTTAAAGAAGCTCAAACCCTAATATAAAATTACCATAAACGAACAATAACCCAAATAATAGAACTATTCTACAAATGGTTTGGATGATACCCCGAACACGTCGTTAAGCAAAATAAACATAACATTTTTATTAGGGAAGGACTTTGAAAAACTTCAGGGAACTCATTGTATGTGTGAGAAATTTGTAGTAATTTGAATAACTTTGTAGAAATCGAGCGAACTTTAGAGAAATTTTGTGGCATTTTTTGAAGTTCATGGTTTTTTTTTCTTTAACTTCAGGACGTTTGGGGAACATCGTCGAAATTCATAAAATTTAAACAATGATAAATTTTTCGGGATCCTCAAAAATTTTCGGGACTTTCTTTTAATTTCTTTAAAGATTAATGGACTTTTAATGGCAAAAGTGGAAACTAAATGGAACTTCGCGCAAAACCAACGAGAAACGTCGAGGTGCTGCTTACCTCGCTGCTTACTTTGCAGAAGCGAAATACGTAGAAATTCGAGGAACTACATAAACCTTCATAGAAGTGAAAGAAATTTTGAAAAAGTTCTGGGAATTTCGTAGCAGATCTAACAATTTCGTAAAAGTTTAGCAAGAACTTCAGGGATCTTTGATTCAGTTTGGACATCTTCTTAGCAGTTTGTCAGTGATTTTACTTAAAAAAAACTTAATGGTCTTCTTGGAAGTTTTGGGAACGTCGTTTAACCTCAAGAACTTTCCACAGAGTGGCCAGTGAATTTTCATTTTCAAATTCTAGATTTTTTCCCGGGTAAAATTTTAAAAATTTCCCGATTTAACGTGCTCAGTGTACGTGCATTTTGTTAAACATTACCAAAGGCAAGTTTTCAAATATAAAGAGAGATTGAGACAAAGATTAGTAATTTCCATTTAATTCCACTACCTTATTTGCTTATCCTTGACAGATACGGCTATTTCGTTTAAAATGTGCAGACTTCTTCAGCGTCTTGTGCTAATACTCGACTTATTAGTACGAGTATTAGTACAGGACGCTGAAGAAGTCTGCACATTGTAGACGAAATACGCGTATCTGTCAAGGGTAAGCAAATAAGGTAGTGGAATTAAATGGAAATTACTAATCCTTCTCTCTCTCTCTCTTTATACAGGTATTCCACTAAGACGCCCACATTCATCAGGAAGTTTTCAAAGTTATTTGTTGAGCAATTGAGTCATGGAATATACTTATGGTCACTAGGCCAAACGCTATTGAACCCGAGATTGAACCATTGCCTTACATTTCGAATTAACAATTTTACGAGACGTTCTTGAAGAGTTTGTCAGCCCCAAAGCGCGGAAGGAGGAATGCCCATGGAAGAATGGCCGGTTGAATACTTGGAAGATGTGGAACAAATGTTGTAAACTTTGCTGTAAAATACTGCTTTTAACCAAATGAAACTCATTGAATCAATAATTCAATTTAATTATTTTATATAAATTACAAAATGCACCGTTAAGAACCCTGATTCTTATTTCTGGTGGATCGATATTTTGATTGAAAGTTATTCGAGTGACCCTGTTAAAACTGATAATCATTTCCGATCACTCACATGGCTCATTACACGAAACGAAAATCAATTATTTTATTTATGTGTTTCACTTATACATTTTTGCCAAAACATCAGCCTTATACATTCCATAAGACAAACCACATAGGTCCTATAAGAAGGCATAAAAGGTATGTGTGACCGCTTATACATTTCATTTGACACATGATCTTCATTAACTTTTTGCAAGGCGTCTGCGTATTAGTTGACTTATACATTTTATCAATAATCAGCAATAGAAATTTGCCAAAAGGTATAAGGAGATTTCTATCCGTGTTGTAAATTCTAGCACAGACAAACAGACATAACACTCACAAGTTGGGAGGTACACGGTTCGAATCCCATTATAACATAAATTACTTACACCCTGACTTACACACTGTAACGCATGACCTGCAGCCAGCGAGATCTCGACCACCGAATACGCTTCCTGTTTCTAAAACGAGTGGCGTAAGCGCCACCTCCGGAAAGGACCACTCGTCAAGGTTTGATTTGCCCGGCAAGAAACCCATCCTCAGGCGGGTTTATGGATGGAAGAGACCGAAATTTAGTTTGAGAGCGATTCAGCAGACTTGAGGGATCTTCACAAACGGTACTAAGCGAAAGTTGATGCTAACCGTCGTTCTACCGTAATACAACAACCCCACTCACATTTATCATCACTGGAGGAACTTTCCCTTTCATATCTCCTCCCCCGATCCTGACACGTGAGTGTGGAGACTGTTTTCCCAGGAGTAAATTCAACTACAAAAAAAAATGCTACAAAAAAATAACACAAAATAGAACGACCAAAACAGACATAACACTATCAAGTTGTTCATCGAACAAGCATTTAACGGTCAATTTAAAAGTGTCTTAGTTGGCAGTACCGGCACCTGTGGCGTGCATAGTCAATTCCCTTGCGTTTGACGTTTACACACTACCGCCATCTGTTCAGCGTACTGCCCACCACAGTATACTCAACAGATGGCGGTAATGTTTTAGCGACGATGTTCTACAGTGAGAAATATTCAATGTGTTATGTCTGTTTGTCTGTGGCTTTATTTTACGAACACAACATTTATTTCAGAGCTAAATAGTGGAAATCATTATATGATTTATTCGTGTTTCTAACCTAGGTTTATTCGTGGCACTTGTTCCTTTCCCATTTGTTCGTTTTGTTTGCTAGCTCTCCCTAATCGTGTGTGCGGTTTCCTGATCTGGTTCTAGCGATTGCTAGCCTAACTTGTTAATTTTCTTCGAGCTAATGTGTTTGTGTGTGTAAAGATTCGCATGCGTTTCATTTACTCACTGTAATCATTGTCGTCGCTGCCTTCCGTATCAGCACAGAAGCATCCCTTTGTCGGAGTGAGGTCGGCAAAGTAGCAGCCTATTCAAACGGGGGTGGTGTTGCACATTGCACCCCGGACTGGTATGGTGCGGAAATTCCCAATCGAACCCTCGAATTGGTACTGAACTAGCGCCGACGGCCGGTGGCGCAATGTGTCAACGAGGGGATCGTCGAAGACGAATAAAAATAATTGGGCCGCACGGAACTTCTAACCTACAGTTTGTACTCTACACGCACGAAAAACACACCGCGACACTAATTACATTTAAGAACTATCTGCTCGCACTCCCGCCTCTTCCACGGTTCAAGTCAAAGAGAACGAGTAGAAGTTTCAGAACCTTCAGATAGGTGTGAATTCAACGGTCATCGTGGCCGGAAGTACGTCGAATTATCGAAGTAATTCAACGACCTTTCAAACGACAATTTTCATCATCGTTCTCTGTAACAATTCAATGCTACCTCTCTTTCCTAATCATGCAATGTCAATCTACTATCTTGCTCAAATCGGTTACTCTTTTATACGAGAAAACGGTTCGGATTCGAACCCCGGACTTTAACGAACAGGTAGCGTATTCGGGTCAAATGGAATGAATTAGCTGAACGTATTGGGAACTCGTTGGTTTTTGTATGACAAGTGGATGAACGTTCCTTGGCGGTGAATACATTTATGAATTTAATTGTCAAAAAACGAAAGTTCATGCAATATACTTAAATGTGGAAAATTGTTTAATTAGGAATTCTGTGCAAATAAATAACTATATAAATAAATGGAAAAGCGTACTTGTTACAACACATATTGGGCCTTATTATAGGTGTCACTACACGGTGATTGCCGAATAAATCAAATGGAAATCACTTCACCGTCACGACAAGTGACAAGTTTTCACCGTGAAGTGACATCCGTAATAAGCCCCATTATACAGGGTGATTCGGAATAAATGTCCCTTTTGAAAATGGTCATAACGTTCGAACGCTTGCATGATTTTTTGATATCAGTATGTTCCAGATATACTTCATATAGGGGAAATGGGTTTTATGTTGACATATGGATCTATGATTGGACCCATCGCTAAAAATCTGCTATTTATCAATTTTATCTAGTTGAACGCGTCAGTGGGACGGTTTTAATTGATGTTTTTGGTCGCTATTGAAAGTTTAGTTAATTGCTGAATTTATGTATGTGTGTGTGTGTACAATCTAACCCCCACTGTCCGGCAGTGTTATTATGGAAGAAAACTGCTTTTTATTACCCTTCAATTAAAGCAGGTTTAGTCCGGGAGTTAGAAGGTGTTAGCTCTATTGCAGCTCCAGTGACCCATTTCAGAATGCCTGGTAATTCACGACCACTCCGAGGTCACTTTTACCACAAACGAAGTGACAGACGACTAATTGGCAAAGAAATCCATTTAAATAATGTGGTTCACTGTAATAGAATTTTCTTGGAAGCTTGTGCCATCATCCACCAGATGGGTTAGTTTTTTTGTTTTGATTTGAACAAAGATGATTTTGTGTACAATGATTCTTTGACAGTGTGCAAAGAGTGCGTATCATTTTGTCATTTTTTTTTTATGAATTTCAGTTTTGAGTAGAGTGAAAGAGATAGAACCATAGAGGTAACTCTAAGACTAGAAGGTCCCGAAATAACGTGCTCAACTTTTTGGCTCAGCTCTGGTACTCTCTTCGGTCCCAAGCTAATCGATTCACCCCTCGAAACATAAGAAAAACGAATAACCCCTCATTTCATCTGTCAAACTTTCATAGCGAATCAAAACAAACATTGCTTAGTACTAGAATTTCGACTAGAATGGGATACGTTAATCGTTTGCTTGGGACCAATAGGCTAGTCAAGTAGTGAGCCAATTTAAAATCGTTAGTTTCCTATTGATTGTTGATAGAACCATAGAGGTAACTCTAAGACTACTGGGTCCCGAAGAAAATCATTATTATTTTTGGCTCACTCAGTACCAGAACAACGGTCCCAAGCAGTCCCAAGCTATTTCACTCACCCCTGCATGTTCTGCATGAATCCACACACCCCTGATGTTATCTGTCAAACTTTCATAGCGAATCAAAACAAACATAGTGTAGTAATAGAATTTCAACTAGAATAGGGTACGTTAATCGTTTGCTTGGGACCAATAGGCTACTAAAGTGGTGAGCCAATTTAAAATCGTTAGTTTCGTATTGATTGTTGATAGAACCAAAACATTCTAGTACTTGGTGAAAATGCTAGTTCAATCTAGTAGTGGTGTTGCCATGTGGTACAATCCAGTAGTAGTGGTGTTGCCATTTGGTACACTGAAAAATTGCAATAGCAGGTTAGTCACCAAAGTTTTCGAGCCGCTCCGTCTGTCACTTCGTTTGTGCTTTTACTTACAATAAGCCCTATCTACCTAGACATACATCTTTCATAGAAAAGATCGCTTCAATTAATAATTTCCACTTCTATCAACTAGCTGACAATATAGAAATAATAAGTGAACTTACATTAGGAAATAAACTCAAGGTTAATGATGCAATAGATAACCTAAAAAAATCAATTTTTTCAACATCAACCCAAAGACAAATAATTACAGATCTAATCCAGACAAAATATATCCTTTAGCCAAAGATTAAAAACAGGTTTTACAATTATGAATACTGAAATAGAAGCAATAATCAAAGCAATAGAATACGCGGAAACCAAAAATATAAAGAAATTAGCTATTTTCACAGATTCGAAGTGTGCTCACCCCAATCAAAACGAAAATAATTTGATCAAACAGCTAATAAATATAGTTGAGAAATCATCGATAGAAACAGTCTATATTCAGTGGATTCCTGGCCACATAGATTTAGTCGGTAATGACAGAGCGAATCATGCCGCCAAGCTTGGAACAACTCGAAACACTATAGAACAGTTTAATTTTACCTTACAAGATTTGATTAATATTCTTAAGAAAGAAACAGAAAGCATCTGGCAAGATCAATACTCACAAATTTCATCTGAAAAAGGCAAATTTCACTTTGAACATGCTAAACAAACTTCTTTGTCACCCTGGTTTAAAAAAATGAGCTTTGAAACTTTAGACACCATCATGTTATCACGCATCAGGTCGGGACACATGACAACAAAGGACAGACTAGCTACATGGAAACTGATTCCAAATGATCGTTGTGACCAATGTGACGTGACAGAGAACCTATGGCACATACTGTACGATTGTCCAAAATACCATTCGATTAGAACTGGGTTTCCAATTTTATTAAACAACACTCCCATTCAATTAATTCTAGCCAAAAAAAATGAAGCAGAATATACGGCAATAGTTGAATACCTGAAAACAATAAAACAGAATGTTTGAGTCTTAAGAATTAACTTCGATTTTTGATAAAAAAAAATACATATAAATATATCTAATGGAATATTAACATAAACGAAGAGTATTTAGTATTCGATAGGTCTGAGCCAGATGACAGTTAGAAAAAAAAGCCCCGCATGTTCACTCTACCTTTATCAAATGGATAATGGTATCATAAACACACTTACAGATTCAAAAAATATTATTTCCAAATCAGGCACGTATATAGTTTTGAAATTTGTTCAACTGTATTAAATCGATTTGAATGGACATTTCTTACCAATTTTGTTTCGACTACCTCTTGATTCATCTGCTGGCAGCACTTACTGGCCCTTACCGGCGACCAACTCGTCTGCCCGCAAAAGCAACAACGCCTAAATCTCAAAGCTCTCCGGACGTCCCCTCGAAAATGCAATCGAAATATGTATAAGAACAATCTTCAACTGGAACGTACTGACCAAATCAATACATCCGGGAGCACATTCCCGATGCTTATTTTTCTCTCGCATGCCCGTCGTCGTCGAACGGCAAAAAAATGGAACTCGGTGAGCAATTTTGTGGTACGGAAACTCCCAACTGCGAAACACGTTCAGAAGCACTGTTGGTACACTTTCGCTCAATTTCTTTCGAAAACACAAAAAAAAAGTTGCAAGCAGCGAGCCAACATCAACACCGATTCTTAGTCAATTGCTGAATTTATGTATGGGCCCAAATTAGGGGCACTTAGGCCGACATTACATCCATTTCCCCTTTAACCTTCAACTTAGCATACTTTAATTCAAATCTCACTCCCTTTACCTTTTATTACCAGCCACATTTGTCACGAAAGTGAACCACAGCTGGCATGCACTTTTGGACTTCTGGCGATGTGTCTAAGCTAAGATCTGCTATTGAACGGATTTTCCACGCATGGTTTCTTTTTACCGCTATAATGATGCGAAAAATAAATGTTTCATTCTTTCGAAGAGATTTCAGCTTCTAGAAGATAACACACCAATTTATACAGATTTATTTTTACGTCCATCGAAAAGGAATGAAATTGCAAATCCTACTATCAATACGAGCTGATATTTGTACACAGTTTAAACCAAAAATACTTGAACATAAACTCATTTTTCCCAGTGATAATTGCATCTTTGCGAAACCGGTGATAGTTATTCTGAATCACCCTGTACATTTTTATGTGAATGTATAAGGCCTGTTCGGCACGAGGTTTGGCATAAATCTAGGAAAATGAAATGAAAATCGATCTGAACGGAATTTAAAATGCCGGAGCTGTATTTTTTTATTTGCATCAATAAGTAACCAAAAATTATTCAATTAAAGCATTCATATGGAATAAGGCCATCCTCCGATCCTCTGCTTTCCACATACACACATAGTTAATCATCACTCGTTTCACGGCGTTTTTTCGGCTTGAAGCTTTCCCACTTCTTATGATTTAACTCGTTAAAATCGCTGCAATTGTCCGCAATTTCCTTGAGATACTTGGAAAGCTTCAGCAGCTCCTTGTCCTTGTGGCGGTTCAAATGCGCTTCGGCAAACGGTTTGATCCTCAGTCCGGACTTGGGATTCATCAGAAAGTTCCGCCGTAGATCATCAAACATGATTGTATTCTTCGATGAATAATGACTGTATTTGCCCCAAATAACTCCCAGCGGTTTAACTTCTATAACGCCTCGAACCGGGCAGTGAACCGTGATCATTGCCTCCGAGTCCAGCATAAACACTAGTTTGTAATCAGAATGAGAAGTAACACCCAGCAACTTCATCTTTTCGACGATCCACTTCATCGAAGTGGCAGACCATATAGCAATGTCATAGTCCTGATATGCGGACGTTAGAAATTCATGCAAGTACGGCCGCATCAGCTCAGCCCCGTTTTCAGCAGCGGATCTGTGATCGAACAGGGTGTAGTCGATATCCAGGACCAGCAGGCGTTTTCCCTCTCGCGGGGGATTCAGTTCGTTGATTTTGTAATCACGGACCCGTTTGTTAATTTTGGACAGATATATTTCCTTGTTCTCCAACGGGACTTTATCGTCGTCATCGTTGTCTAGGTCGTTTACGACGTTACCGATGTCATCGGGCTTGGAAGACGCTTCCTCGATGTCCGCTTCCAGCGAGCCAACCATCATCAGTTTGAAATTTGCTTTCAACTCCAGCAAACCAAGACGTACCTCGTCGGCGGCAAATTTACCTGTGTGAGAATCATTTGTTCAGTGGAAATTGCCAAAACACAAACGTATAAACCATTTTATTATTTAACTGTCCCTAATTGGGTTGTTAAGGGGTATTTAGGTAAATACATACATATTCGAAGTCTGCATTATAAATGGAACCGAAATCGAAAATTTCATCATGGCCCATTTTGCCCGATAATTAAAAAAAATCCTCTTTAGTATAATATGTGTGACAAATAAAATCACACTCAAGTCGAGAAATTTTCCAATCCAAACAAAAAAAAACTCCCAGACCAGACCTGGAATTGAATTCAGCCACTTCCACAGCATGGTCTTGCTTTACAGCTACGCCTTTACCCACTGAGCTAATGGAGTAAAGACTCTAAATTTCCCATAGAAAACCTCGAGTGCCTGTGGATGCGTATTTGTCCCATGTTACAAAACACAGAAATTCGAAAAAAAATTTAAGTCAATTGTCATCTTGCCAGACAGAACTAGATTTTTTGGGTTTTTGCAGGCATGACAATCACCTTTAAAAGAACAGCTCTACAATTAAAACCACTACATACAAAAATTAAAAAAAAAATACAGTGAAATCTATTGAAATTTTGAGGTATTACCCAAAGTTTATTAAAGCACAGGTGTAATATAAGCTACAATGTTGACGTAGTGGTATGGAAAAAAAAAAGAAAAAAAAAATAGTTATGAACATTTGGCTGAAATGTGTATCAAATTCAAGCGGTTTTGTTAAATAATTCAATAAAATGAAAGCAATTTTTTAGATGTAGTTATTCAGCTGTCCTTGTATGTTTATCTAGCATGGAAATTAGTTTCGGAGATAATTCATATTGGAGTAATTTTGAGTTCATATGTGAGGGTAGTTAAAATGCTCAAAAAACTACGTTCCAGAGAATTTAACGTAAATTATCAACGTTACGTAATTCATCAGAATCAAAGTGTTTTTGAAATCGCTTACCTCCAAATTTGGATAGCAAAATTAACATCAATTATTAGTTTTGCAGGAGGTATCTCTGCATGGAATGTTTGGAAACATGTAATCTTTCAAATGTACTAACAATATTTCACATTATTCCCAAAATCTCTGGAAATAAATAAAAACTAAATAATTCCATACAACATGATGGAAGTTTCATAACTATCATACATGTGTTGATGCCCAGACCACTGAGAATGTATGCAAAAAATCTAATATAAGTTATTTACCTTCTATTTAAGGTACTTTGGGTATAACCATGGTTATTTTGATTTACGAAAAATAAAATGAAGTGCAGAATAAAAATCCTTGCGCCCCTCGAAAAAAAAAAGATCCGTCTAAGAACAAATCAAGCCCACTGGGCAGTCTGCGTTCGCCGGAGGCTTTACATGAAATTTCTATAACATAATTAATTAATGATGAAGCAATAAAACATAAATCACTAATTTTAATTACCAGCAAGCTATTAATTAAAATCCCATCATAAAAACCCCCGTATAACAATAATTCACCCACCTTTGTATTTCAAATTGAGCAGCTTCTGTCGTTCCGGCTTGACCTGTGTCTTTTTGTAGATTTCATGCTTCAGCACCGCCACCGTGTCGTGTTCGGTGAGATCCTCTATCGGGTACTCCTTGCCGCTCCATTTGACGATGATTTTGATCTCATTTGAAGCCTGGGGCTCCATTTTTCAACGATTTTATTGGACCACTTTTGGAACACTACTGCGAAACGATTGCAAATTTCACCTGTTTATCGTTTTTGCGGTTGGTGCATTTTGTTTTCGATATGCACTTCGCCATTCGGGCGGACGGTGTAATTCAGCTGTCACTTTGCGATTGTGTTGGTGACCAACAACTACTGTCTGTCTAAACAAGCCCGGTAAGTTACAAACTTTCGGCTAAAAACTCTATCAATCCAGTTTATAATGTGACAAAAACTTCGGAATATGTCGCCAAATATAGTAGTGAAAACTAATTTCCTGCAAAAGTATCCATTCCTGGTCGAAACGAGAACCAATCGATTCATCGGGTGCTACGGCGGTGTAAGTACACGTAAATAAAAACAATCAAACAGGCATCGGTCTGGAAAAACGAAACAATTACACCATTAGTGCACCAATCACATCTTTGCGTTACAGAAATTCACAATGCAGCTAACGTTACCGTCGTTTCCGGAAACCACTCGATCAAGTCTTGGGGTCTTCGATGGATTGCAACCAGTAGATGTGCAGGATATGCTTGTTTTGGGGAATATTAACGAACTTTTGGATAATGTAGTTAAATTTCTCGATGGACATCAAGGGCACTGCAGAAAAGAAGCCACGATGAATGTGAATTCATTGCAGAAAATTCTCAAACAAATAGCTGCAATAAAACACGATCACTGTTGTAAAGTTTTCACAAATTCCGACTTATCCAAACTGAAGCTGACTGGTTTCAAATCGATTGATGCCCATTTTCTGGAAATGGTGCGAATTTCGGACACGGATTTCCAAGTAACGTCACACAGCCTTCCCGATCTTGGGTCGTCGGTCGAGCCGTTCAAATGGCATGCATCCGTCGAAACGCATGTGGCATCGTTTGTTCAAATTTTTGATCAGTTGGAGGAGTTCTACAGCAACTTGCACACGCTGGACGAGCTGTGCCATGTGGTTGAACCGGCGGACATCGACACCCGCAGCACGTGGCGAATAATCAAATTCAACCGGAAGGTTTTTCTGAAGATCACACTGCATCCGCTGCAGCCAACGTCAGTTGTGGTTGCATTTCTCGGTCCCACCATTGAGATCGAGTATCTTCGGGAGTTGTACAATGGGAAAATGGAAGACTGGGATCCGGACAGCAACGTCTACACCAATCTACTGAGGATATTTGAAATTATGGCCTTTCCCATGCCAATGGAGCAGCCCGGGGAGGATGGTGAAGGCACGGCGTGTGGGATTTGTATGTCCTATCGAGATGATCAGTACAAGATCCCCATAATTTCCTGCGACAATGAAAAATGTTCGCTGATATTTCACATCGGCTGTCTGAGAGAGGTAAGAGTTTAACTTTAAATATTGAAAATTGGAATTATTTGGACTTTCATCTATATTTCAGTGGTTCATGTCATTGAAGGACAGTCGAACGTTCTTTGCTATCTCAGTGGGAACTTGTCCGTACTGTAAGCAGAAAGTATCGTCTAGTTTTGACGAACTATTGAGTAATTTGGAACTGACTCAAACTAAACCAGCAACGTAGAGGAAATAGAGGCCAATGTGCATGTCTGCGCTCAGCATTTCACAAACACCGGATGATGACAGCCTTATTTCCGTATTCCGTGCACGTTTTCCCCGTATGTAGTTTAATTTCGATTTTACTTTTGTTCCGTCGCTGATGGCCCGCTTGGCCACGGATCATGGCGAGATGATAGCAGTGCGTCTATTTGCGAATTCAGTTCGACGTGTTTTGCAGCAGCTATCTTACTCTGTTGAAAGCAAATTACATGTAGGTGGACATTTTCGAATAGTAATAGGAATGCGTTTCAATTTTAATGAGAACACCTTATTGCGTAATTTAACCCGTCTTTGAGAGTTGGTACATTTCCAGTTATTGAAGTTCATATATAATCGGAAAATATTAGCCGAATTTCGCGCCTTCTTAATTAATCATCCCGCGACTTTCGCTAAATGCTTTAAAAAAAGAGAAGGCACCGTCTGATCTGCAATTGCAGTCACGAATGTCCACAACAACATATGGTACCCCCATCGCCACCACACGGCAGGTGATTTGTATTTCGCGCATCGTTTGCAGCAATATACCGACGCTATATGGGTGTTGTTGTTGGTTGGTTGGGTAGTAGGTATGGGCTTATTGATCGATTAAACTCCAAACTTACGACCGCGATGATCGTGGCTGAAGGAACTAATAAAAGTGAAGCGCGTGAACGCGATGGATTTTAGGCGTGAAATTTGGTTCGATTAGCAAAAGGTTTTCGTCTTTGATCACGCAAACCAAAGCTGACTTGGTAAAAGGGCGGCTTAGAACAAACGGTTTATTGCTCGAGGACGAGCTTGGTTGATGGGGAAATCCTAAGTTTACAAATCCTTATACTGGCGGTTGGCATTCCAATTAAGGGTGGTAAATAATCAACTGAAAATTATCGACTTATTATAATACAATTTATAGCTAAATCCAGGTAATAAAAAAGTTTCAGATCTAACCAGATAGCAGCGACATCCAGCGATTCACGGCACAAGTTCATACACGGGAGGAAAAACTATTCAGTGGTGGACTCTTGAGGCAAGTTAAAGTCAAAGTAGTTACAGGCAACGTCTGAGTACTTCGGCACAAGAGGAATTTCTGCAATATAATATAAGACGCGAAACGCAAAAGCTGAGAGCACTTCCTCGCCACTTCCAAAATTTCCGAGATTCATTGACAACTAAGACAACCACCGACACCTCGGCCTAAGCCTTAACCATCCTGACCTGATTAAGCCTGATTTTTTAGGTAGGGGAAATGACGGCTTCGGCATGACAGACTATTTTCGGCAACCCAAATTGAAACACTATTTTCACTGGATTTTCTTAGGAAAACACTTCGCTGAATGCATGCAAACGATTCTTTATGCTTTCAGCTTCAATTTGACTATATTTTTGCCACTGAGAAAAAGCAATCTAGCAAGGTTTTCTTGAAATGCAACACACGCACTACAAATTGTAGCTGATTTCGAGTTGCCGATAATAGAACAGCAGATTTACATGCAGTTCAAATGGAACGGTTGCCGAAGAAAAACTGGTTGCCGACAATACTCGCTCTCACTAGAGAAGATTGAAGCTTTGTAAAAGCGTTTCAAAACAGTTTTTGTCAATTCTTTCGACTGAAATTGTTAGAGCAGCTGGCAGCAAAAGATTGTAAACAAACCAATACTGCATATGTGTGCGTTCCTTAGGTAAAAAGGCTATAGAAAGAAGGTCGCTGCTTAGGTTGCCGAGAATACGTAAATTCCCCTAAGTGATATTTGAAAAAAACAACAATCCGGCAACCCTGCTGACATGGGATTTTGACATTCAGTTGCTTTTTTAAACTAGCAGGGGCCCAACTAAAAATCCTCCCAGGTTTTAAAAGCCCATCTACCGAATTTCGACTGTAGTTAATTAATGGATAATAATGAATAATACTAATAATAACAATATGAAAGCAGATGTTCACAGAAAAATCTCAAAATCAGGGGAAACATGTCAGAAGGGTCTAATTCAAAACGTAAACAATGACTTGGATCGTCGATTTCTTACGAATGACTACACACCCACTCAAACTAACTAAATCATCTGACAGAGAAACGTTTGTTCTATGATCTAGTGTAGTCAGATTCCGTGGGTGTGTGGTCATTCAAGAGAAATCGACGTTCAAAGTCATTGTTTACGTTTCGAGATATACCCTTCTGACATGTTTCCCCTGAAAAGTTTCTGCCTAACATCACAAACAGACAGACATAACTCTAAGAAGAATATTCCCATGCATTGATTTGCTACCGGAGCATCCATCGTTCATGCAATGTTTTCAGTAGTTGCTTCCCAACAAACTTTGGGAGCAGAATAAGAACTTATTCAGTCAAAGCTATGCTTCTGTAGCAAAGAAATAGTTTTTTTTTCAACCTTTAATCAGCGCAAATTGGTTGTTAGGTTTTCCCCTAAGAGGAAGAGGTGACAATTGGCTTCTTCCTCTTTTATTTCTATCTCTATCTCTATCTTTATCTATCTCTATCTTTATCTTACGCACATGAAATCGGCCAATCAGGAGCTGGTTCACGTTTGACAGAAAAGTGGTTCATTTTTGCCCCCGTATTGTCACCTCTTCTCTTAGGTTTTCCCTAAAGAGCCTGAATTTATAAAGAGGTGACATCTTATCCATTTGACAGGTCTTCTGCTCGATTGGAATGACTTTTCCTATGACTTTGACAGATAATCGATTGTTCCAATTTTGACAAGTCGTCTCTTTATAAATTCAGGCTCTTTAGTTTTCCCTTGTTCTGTCAACACGTCAGCTGTATTGAATAAAAATAAAAAGATGCCAGTCAGTGCTGTCAGTTCTACCAAATTTTTTGTAATGGAGTGCCCTTTCTACTGTTGGAAGTAAGTAGTGAAAGCCCCTGGATACGCGCATCTATCATGTGAGTCTCTATAGTGGCTCCCAAGATCGAGAATGACAGCTGCCGTATGAGTGTGTATGAGTGCGTGAGAGTGAGAGACTGACGAAGCATAAATTGCTGATGTGTGTACAATTTATGTTTGTTGACTAGTCCATTGTAACTTGTAAATAAAGACGCACGTAGAACGTAGTCCGCGGTTATTTTTCTTTGGTATCACGCGACTCCCGAGACGGGTGTTTATTGTCCGGTAGTTCGGTTTGGATAAACCTGTGTACATCTGCTTGCGCTGGGATCCCCACAGGTTATGGGCCCAGATCCGTGAAGAAAGTAATAGTGGAAAAGTGTTCTCCGGTGGAGGAGACATTTTGTGTGGATTGCGTTGCGTTTGTGCTTTGTTTACGAGAAGATTTCCCCCGGCGGGTGTATGTGCTGTTGTCCGCAGCTGAACGTTTTTGTCGGGTGAAATTGTGCTGTTGGCAGTGGAGTATCGGCCAAGTGTGTAGCACGGAACGGAATACGAAACGGAAAAGGTTTTGTTCGAGGAGGAGAAATTTTGTTTTTCTCTCCTGTACGGGCTGAAGTGCAAACTTATTGTTTGCTGGTCCGGTCTCTAAAAGTGCGATTGTTTGAACTGAAGAAGTACGCTTCGTTCGGAAAAAGCTTATAGTGGAATAAGAAAGAACACTTTGTGGAAAGTATCGAATTGTGAACATTGTTCGCTCGACCGTGCGCGTAGTGTTTTTGTTTCGTGGAAAATGGCCGAGACGAAGATAACATTAGACCGGTTGAACGATTTTAATTGGGCAACTTGGAAGTTCCGGATGGAGTTGTTGCTACAGCAGCTTGGACGAGGAACAACGAAAAGGCTCGAGCGACGATCGGTTTGGCGCTAGAAGATGGTCAGCTGTGCCATGTTATGGGAGCTGCTAGTGCAAAGGAGATGTGGGACAAGCTCAAAGGCTACCACGAGCGAGGGTCTCTGTCGAACAAGATCCATGTACTGCGGAGATTGTGCTCGATGCGGCTGAAAGAAGATGGCAGTATGTCGGAGCATCTAGTCCAAGCGTCAGAGTTGGTTCACCGACTAGCCAGCATGGGAGAGCCGTTGAAGGAACATCTTGTTGTGGCGATTTTGTTGTCAAGTTTGCCGGAGACGTACAACCCGCTCGTTACTGCTCTTGAAGGCCGTCCAGAAGAAGACCTGAAGCTGGAGTACGTGAAAGGTAAGCTTCTAGATGAGTGGCGGAGAAGATGCGAGAACAAAGTGCATGAAAAGGCCAGTGAAATGGCGATGAAAACCACAATGCGATCGGAAGAACGGAGAAGTTTTGTACGGGTTTGTTACCATTGCAAGCAAGAAGGGCACTTGCGGCGAAATTGTCCTGTGTTGATGGCGGAGAGGCAGCAGAACCAAGCGAAGTCGATGGTGGTTAAGCAATCGGATGCCGGTAGCATTGGCAGTAGTCGAGGAGTGTGCTTCACGACGACGACTGCAAGTGATGTGTCGATTGACGGTCGTTGGATCATCGACACTGGCTGTACGAAGCACATGGCTGGTTCGACGGCGAGCTTCGACAGCATGACGTTTTGCGAAGAGAAGGTGTCGTTGGCGGACGGGAGAAATGTAACTTCCAGAGGAACCGGACATGGAAGGATCGTTGGAGTCGGCTTGGAAGGCGAGTCCGTTGACATGCAACTGAAGGGATTGCTGTATGTGCCTGGATTGTCCGGAAGTGTGCTGTCAGTGAGCCAAATCACAAGCAATGGCTATGATGTGCTGTTTGGTGTGAAGGATTGCAGAATCCAGAAAGGCAAAAAGGTTGTTGCTATAGGTGACCGGATCGGAGGGCTGTACTACCTAAGGCAGCCGGTAGTGACGTAAAGCAGGAGGAGTGCTACGGAACAGGAGGAGTGTTGTAAGTAGATGCAGTAGTGGGCTTCACTAAGGAGGAGTGTTGGAAGTAAGTAGTGAAAGCCCCTGGATACGCGCATCTATCATGTGAGTCTCTATAGTGGCTCCCAAGATCGAGAATGACAGCTGCCGTATGAGTGTGTATGAGTGCGTGAGAGTGAGAGACTGACGAAGCATAAATTGCTGATGTGTGTACAATTTATGTTTGTTGACTAGTCCATTGTAACTTGTAAATAAAGACGCACGTAGAACGTAGTCCGCGGTTATTTTTCTTTGGTATCACGCGACTCCCGAGACGGGTGTTTATTGTCCGGTAGTTCGGTTTGGATAAACCTGTGTACATCTGCTTGCGCTGGGATCCCCACATCTACCACCGCTCATCACTTTAATGTGTACACAGCAAACCAATATATTGCAGATTTTGCAACTGATTTGACTCC